GTAAGGAATCCAGGAGTAATACCTCACTTCTAAAATGGCTTTACATAAAATTATGCTCTTTAATAAAGCACTACACTTTGCTGGCAGCACTCGCAACACTTTTGTCCTCAGTGATGGCGGATGCTGCAGAATGACAGCATGCTGAAAAAGACTGCGTATTAAACGCGTTACTCTCTAGTTTTAGTTTCTGTACAGTTCCTTGATTTTAGGTGTTCAGCTAGGCAGTATAGCTGGGGAGGAAGTCATGATAACATCACATGAGCGTAGAAAATAAGGCTGGGAGGGGACCTTGAAAAGTCATCTTGTGCATCCCTCTGCCCGAGGGCAAGATCAGTGTCCCCTAAGCCACGGCAGTTTCAGCCAGCCGGCTCCCGCAAACCTCCAGCGAGGGAGATCTCACAGCCTCCCCGAGCAATTCATTCCTGCCCTTAACTATCCTTCTGGTTAGATGATTTTGGCTAATGCTTAAAGTAAATCTCCCTTGCTGCAATTTAAGGCCATTACCCCTTGTGCTGTCCCAGGTGGACATGGAGAATGATTTATTACATAAATTTTCGCAACGATTTTGAAGATTGTTTTTATGCCCCCCTTTGGCCTTCCCTTCTCTAAAGTCACATGTAAAAGATAAAAGAAAACTAATGAACAGAGGTTTAATTAATTCCATGTAGCAATTTTTAAGCTATATTCTAAAAATAAAATACTTGGAAAGAACATCAGTAAACCATATTACTCAGGAGGATAGAAGGAGTAATAGCATGCCAGTGTGGTTGCATAACAGAGAAATAGGAACTTTGCAAAAGGTCAAATGAACATTACCACTGAGCAAAAAGGCAGCGCTTTCTCTGTATCGCCTCTTAAAAAAAAAAAAAGTTCTTCAAGATTGATGGGAAGAATAAAGATACATATAATTAAAGTTATTAGACCCATAACTCTCACTGAACTAAACTGGAACTTTGCCTGCTTAAAGACTGCAGGAAGGATGCTTTTGTATTTAAGGACTATCTCGAAACTCAAGAGACAAGTTTAATCCTTGGCTTTCCTTGGGACTTCCTTAGCGATTTTGTGAAATTACCTCTTGATAAAATGAGCAGTGGCTCCACTTATTTTCTCTGGAACTATTCTCATTTTGGTTTTGTAGATGACAAACCCTTTAGGATGGCGGGCTGTCTGTACCGAGACGTGCAGGACTCCAGCATAGGAGGAGCCAAAGTCACCAGAAACTTCTGACCGTGACTGCATCACAAAATGCAACACCAGGCTACTAAACAAGGAATTGTCATGTATTGGATAAACCCCATTGCAAAAGTTGGTAAAGGTTACTTCAAATTGATTAACTGTGTCTGTTGGTGATTTAGATCATGCTTATCTTCTTGGGATCCACAGGGTGGCTTATAATTCAACACTGTAAAAGCAACAGAATCTCCAATCCCAAAGTCCAGACTATTAAGAGTGAGAATCTAGTTATTTTTGTTTCCTGGTAGGTATTTTAATAAGGGATACAGGGAGAAGCAATATGCTAGCCAACCTATGAAAAACATTAAATAAATGTTGAGATTATGAGAGATTGTGGATTCTTTAATGCTTTTCCCCAGATGTCCCTGTGAAGCAGGGAAGTGCATGAAATAAAGAAACATCTTTTTTTATAGACAATAGGTTGATGATAACAAAGACTTGGAGAATGTCTACATACTGTGCTTAAAGCCAGCTCAGATATCCCTGCAAAGCTATGGAGGCAGAGTTGAAGGAGTTGCTTAAAGTCAAAAAAGACATCCATATGCCACAACATGGAGCTGAGCTGATGATTTCAGGCATGAATCCAGAAGATGGCAAAGCTACTGCTGTCCAAACTGATAGCAGCATGTCCCTGGCTAGAAAATAACCATATATGGATTTACCATTAGTAGCTGGATGTCTTGACAGGCTATGATTTAAAAATAACATTTATGCTATTAGCACTGCTTCCCTTTATTTTCAGGAGAAACTAGATTATCACGTTCAAAGTTACAAGGTCTCCTCCTATTTTTTCCTGCATTATCCTTGTTTTCTGCATTTGACACTGGAGACAAATTATTCCTGATTTTCCTACATACAAGTAGGACAAGATTCAGGTCCTACCTCGTCAATCTTTATACACGGATCTCCATCTCTTATTGTCAGCTAATCAGTTGTACTAAGAATTTTGTTGCATATATTTCTTTCTGTGCTCTTGTTTACAGTCCTTTGGAGATTTTTCCTGTTATTGCCGCTTATTCATACTCTCCCCCTCAAAAACCACTGGTCAAAATCCATCTATTTTATCTGAAAGAAATAAAATAAACATCTAACACATAATGTGGTAGAAACCCTGGCAACAGAAGCATCAGACTTTATTCTGTAGTGGGCTGCTTTTGGGCTTCCTATGCACGTATCCAACCTGAGGCCCTGGGCTGTGCATCATCCTGTTTGGTTGGAACTGCAGTTCCATTTACTTTGGTTGCCTTCCAGAGGAAGAATATGATCCTCAAAAATGCTCTTGGCTCCTTCAGAGAGGAAACAAGAGCATTCAGATCCCCTTGAAGTCAAAGTGAGGGGACACAGCCATTCTCCGGATCAAGTCCATGTTAATGATGCTGCATCTGCTACACACGCACATGCAGCAGGGTTATTTAAAAAACTGCAGACAGTGACTCTGACTGACTTAGCGGCTCACCTTGCTCTTCCTACTAACAGAAAGGAGCATCTTAGGCTTAGAGCCCTTAGTATGCCCTTTGTCTTGCAGGGCATCTCCTATGCTGCCAGGTGAACTCCACTGAATAACTAAGCTGCTGTAAAATTAAAGGTACACCCTACCCACAGGACAGGGGGAACTTTTAAGACTTCCGAATTATAGGAAGAAATCTGGTCTCCAAATAAAATAAAGCAAGCTTTTCCCCAAAGTGCTTAACTAAAGGGTATCCATGCCACACTTTTATTTTTCATCCTTTTTTGACCTTTAATTTAATGTAAGTACTCAAGCAATTTTAGCTGTGTTTTCTTCTCAACTTCTCCCACTTTAGGCCACACACACAAAGATCATTCTGTGACTTGACACCCCTCCTTTCTCAAAATCTTATGGTGAGGAGAAAAAAAAAACGATGTTATTTTAAACAACCTCAAACTAGAGTTTTTTTGTCCATTAGGGTACTTATTTATTCATTTCAATTCATGCCTTTTTTACATTGAAAATTATAGCTTTTACAGATTCTTGTAAATGTTTAGGTATGAAAATGGCTCTTTTTCAAAAATGTGCTTCTAGATCACTAAAAATAATTCACTTGTGTTCACATTTTCTTTGTGTGGAATTCAAGGTAATGATATGTATATTTACTGCTCATCCCTATCTTTACTGATCTATGTTCTTTCCTTTTTAATCTATCTAAATATGTATTTATTGCTGATAAAATGGTAGTTGAGATGCATTAGTCACCTCTTCAACACATCAGATATATCAACACTGGTATCACAAGAAGTTCCCTCATCCAACCTCACCATTGCCGGCTAACCTTGAGCAGTAAGCATCACATCTGGATGCAAGATACAAGCAGTCCCTCTAGCAGACTGGCTAAGTTTGCCAATCTACTTGTCCCAGTTCTAGACCAGGCTCATGATGGGCCATTAGCTTCACACCATCCAGGTTTGATGCCACTAAACTCATCTCATGTGAAGATGCATTTGATGTATTGCTGTACTTTTCTCCAAATGCTCTGAACTAGTGTTTTCAGATGGCTTTTTCTTTTATACTTATATTCCCATTCATTAAACCAAAATTTCTAGTTTGAGGACTCATTCTGCCACAGCATTTTATGCTTTCATGCAACTCATGATCCCTCTCCAGCCACTACTGATTTCATTTCTTTGTGGCACCATAAGAGCAGTAGGGTTAGGTTCATTAATTGTTGAAGGGTCAGGTCACTGACATGCCAGCTGCTTTTTCATACTTGGTGACCACTGGTTGCTGAGCCAGGTATATGCAAGGCACACATCTCTCGGGCTCTACCTGCTAGCTACTTGAAAACTGAACTACTGCAACGATACTCCCAAAGTAAACTTTACTTTGGTTTGGCATGAGGTACAAGGCAATTCAGAAATTGGCTCTCTCTGAAAGTTCTTTCCTTGTTATTTCCTTCCAAGAATGTTAAAAAAAAAAGAATGTTCTTCACTTTTAAATTGCTGTTCACTCACCAGTGAATAGCCCTCATATCGAATGTATTTCCAGTGAACACAGCTCACAAAATATTAGTAAATTAAAAATAATCAAGATGGCAGCAGTCTCGCTGAAGGAATTTATCATGACAAAGGTAATACCCCAGAATATGAACTTTCTTCTGTCACCAACTCTATCTTAAATCCCTCTGGAAAGTACATGAAAAACCCCTACATTAAATTGCTGTCCACTGGGGTGGAAACTAAAATTAAGTTTTTTGACCAAACCTTTATCACCAAAATACTATTTCACTTATTTCATGATTCACATTAGGACCATATTTTACCATAAAGGTGGAATTTCCATACACTTAGAAAACTATTTGAACTCTGTTTTTTTCCACAAAAGCCTTCCTTTGCAGGTAATACATTGTCCCAATAAAAAAATTTTGTAACAGTAGAGCATGCAAGTAGTTCAAAAAAGTGAGTTATTTTCCACTGTGTATGCACTAAATGCATGTGAATTATAATAGATGGGCCAAATGCTTTCTCAGGAGGGACACATATTGACATCTTTGGACAGTAGCAGCAGCCTTTGAATTTTCACTTCAACTACCGCTTAGAAATGACACTATCAGAAAGGAAACACCTACTGTGCGCCTTCACTTGCCTTCTGATCCCTTATTAGTTAACCCCCAAGTGCATATGTATACAGCCTTAATCCCCAAGTGAGTATCTGGACCAGGGGAAATCTGGAATTAATTGCAAAGTATTTTAGTTACTAATGCAGCTGTTACAAGTGTTTGATTTGGCAAGAGAACAGAAAAGGCACTGCATACCAATTTCGTGAGCCACTGTAAAAGCTGCATGGAGGCCGTCATCTTCAATCACTGCACAGCTGCGCTCAGGAGAGCATATGGTCCCAACGTCTGCCATTCCCAGAGTATCACATGAATGATGCCCACATAAATCCTGCCCAGGAAGGAAATAAAAAAAAAAAAATCATTAAAATGAATTTTTACACCCATAGGTAACAATGGGTTAAAGTCACCAGCCCTTTGCAAACAGCAGAACCTGGATAAAAACATCAATATATGCTTCAATCTAAAGATGTCAATGCAGTTTAAAAGCATGACAACCCAATCCTATCCCAGGTAAAGTAAGTGGGAATATTTTCATTGACTTTAACAGGATTTGGAAATGTTCTATAATTAATTATTGTTAGTCTGTATTTCTGCAATGCATACAGAAGCTCAAACTTTCATTGTTAGGTACTCAAAATACAGGTCATAAAAGAATTTCTTCATTGACAATAAAACCAGTATATTCCCTTTATTTACAGAAGGTGAACCAAGGCATAGAGAGAAAGGTTCAGATTCCGGATCGGTCCTTGAATCAGAGATCACTTTTCAAAAGGCAAGTCTTATATTTGCACTTAAAGAAATTAGATTGTTATATATTAATTCTCATGTCTTATCTGTCAAGTAGTACAATGATTAATAATGTATTACGCAATATACCAAGTATTTAAGCGATTCTCAAAGGTTGTTTAAAGAGTCAGGCATATGACAGAGAGTAAAATCCCCTGATTCCCAGTCTTACTAGTGCAAAAACTTGATCACATGCTTCCTACTTGTAGATAAGGGGTGTCTCCAAAAACTATGGAGGTAGCATTAGGGTTTTTTTCTTTCCATTCCAGGATGATAACAATCATGACCATTGATAACAATAATGATGAAGGTAGCTTTGGTCAGACAGTGTTTTAATCATTGACAATAACTTTTTGGTGCTTCTACTGAAGCAGAGGAAGGAGTACTAGCCTGAATCTACATATACTCTTTTTTGGTTGAGAAGGAAAAACAGGTACCATGCATTTGGAACACTCCTAGACATTTCATTGTGGTTGAATGAAAATGTCATTTCCAAGGCGTGACAGTATTATCAAATGTTACTATCCAAATGATCAAAGAGTACCTTTTTCCCCTTCATTTTTAAGACTCCTTCCCTTGAGATCTCCTTTTATAATGACTGACTTTCATGAAGCCTTTCATAACTAATACATCTGAATAACAGATATCCTGTATGAGGTTCCAGGTCAACAATGTTCACTGATTATGACAGTTTCAAATTTAGGCAAACTTGAAAATGCACAGGATTCAAATCCCACTGAAGTCAAAGAAAAAGACACTGAGTTCACAGATACTGTGAAAGAGCATCTCTTCATCAAAAAAAAAAAAAAAAAAAGTAATTTTTTTTCCCAAGATGAAATAAAGACATTTTCAAGATAAAATTACATAGCAATATTACATACATAGAGCAAGAATTTTGAGATCAGTTCTTCTGGCCTCCAGGTGTCAGGGAACTCTTTGGTAAGTGCACTCTTGGTGCTACTTAATGTCAAGATTTAAATGCCACAGTACCAATGAACAAAACAGCCTCACAAGAAGAGAAGGAATAAAGTTCAAAAGTATTTCAATTCCCAAATTTTCACAGGAATAATCCATGGTTTAAGAAAAACTTCCATTCTGTAGCAATGCAGATAACATGCAGAGAATTTTCTCTCTAACCCCACTGGCTCCCACCCTTGACATCCAATCAGCTCCCCAGGCTTTGCTTCTGGCTCTGCATGGGTTATTGGAAAGTACACAATAAGGGTGCCCATTTTCAAGTACTTTTTTCCAGTTTTCTTTAGGCAAATAAACTTCATATCATTTTCTGCATCTCTGGACAATTTTGGAAGAGGTCTTAAGTGAGGTCATGTTATATTAGTGTCAAACATCTGGGGCATATTAAACAAGGAAGATACAATCCTTAAACTCCTATTACTTTTGCTTGGGTTCACATCCATTTAGCCCTTTATGTATCACTTCTGAATCTCACCCTTTCAGTTTAAGGGTACATTTTACATAGAGTAAACTCTATGTAAATGTAACTGTAAGTGGTTTACCTACAGCAGCGTGCATAACAAAACTCAGAAAAAATGCATGTGCATAGTACCAATAAAAATACCTTTTCATGGTGATATAATTGGACTAAATAAATGAGTGTAAGCTGTATAGGAAGTAAGATACCTTTATACTAGTGCCATTTGAACTGAATCCACACAAGCAGTTGCATAGAAATTCTTACACAAGTACTGAAAAGCACATACATTAGACAGAAAGCAGCTTACTGGAGGAGGTCTAAATTACTCTCAGGTTGATAGTACCAAGGATAGTGTAAAATACATTAATTCAGGCCCTGGTCTTTTCCTGTATTTGGGTGTCATTATTACATAGATACCTACATCAGTACTACTCCCAGTATCGGCACAATTATATCAGCACACAGATGTCTTATGCCAGTGCATGATTTATTTCCGTTTGCATACAAGAAACTATGCCAGTGATATGGCTATGAAGCTATACCAGCAGACAAAACCAGATCTCACAATGATTCTACAGACTTCATGACACAAGTACAATTAAAAGAACACAATCGTTTAAGCAGGTAATCTCATAAACTTCCTTAGAGTTACTTCTGATGGCATGTGTGGAGTATGGAGAATTACGACAGGGATGTGAGCCGTAAGCAGCCCTTCTAACTCCTGGCTGGTTACTAATCCTAACCTCAAAATTTCCAAAGCTATGCAAAAGATTGTGTTATGCCACCTTCATAAGGCATCAGAAAAATAGCTATGTACATAGACAAGCACTAAAGGACAGAGCAATGTTTGGTTACTTTTCATATGTTATGTGTCACTGACATTTTACCATACCGCATGTCCAAGTTTTCCTCAGAGCTCATCACTTCATCAAACCACTGTTCCTCTATTTCCATCATTTCCCCGAATATGACACATATCCACACATCTCAACATCCCACTAGCAACTTTCAAGGCAGTGCTCATCTGCGTAACAGTTATCTAGACAAAACAAAGCAAGCTTTACACTTTCTTTATGAAATGCATCAATTTGGGGTCAGATAAAATGCATTTCTTGAAGGGCTGTATTAGTTAAAGGTTGCTCCTAGGAAATCCCACAGAAGATAAGTGACTCTACAAATTGCTTATCTGTAAAATTACCTAGCTCCTCCAAGACTCCACAAACAGCTGGAAAACAGCTGTCCTCAGATGGTGTAAGACCAACGATCCCTGTAAGGGAGAAGGGAGGAGAGTGACCACACTGTGCTCAGAAAGTGGTGGACAGTGATACAGTAAATCCTCGTTCCCTTCAGCCAGTTCCGTGACCACATCCGTGCTGCCTCCCCAGCCATCTGAGCAAGGCGGCGTGGGGAGTCCTGCAGCCGCCTACCGAATCCCAGCTGGGCAGTGGTGGAGGAGGCTTGTAAAGGATATTGGAAACAGGGACAGGAAATATTTTCTGGCGTTAGCTTCTTTGTACAAAGCTGTTATCGGAGGGATGTCTATGGGTTGTCCATCTGCTGCTAGAGCAGGGCATGCATTGGCTGTGCTTTGAACAGAGAGCAGGCGCTGAGCCTTCTGGTTTTTGTTGCAGACTTCAGTCCTAAGCGACTGCATGAGGATGCATTTTTTAAGCTAATGTTGACATTGTCAACAACACATTTTTTAAGCTAATGCTGACCTTGTCAACAATCACTTAGGCAGATTACTGAAGACTTAGCTCCATTATGTTCTCAACTCATAGTCTTATTTATTCCTTATTTCTCTTGCCTCTGCATCATTTGAACTTTAATATATTTCTATTCACAGCATCACATAGTATATATATACATAACTGAAGCCAATGAAGTGGCATCTCTGAGACAAATATTCTGAAAATTTTGCTGTCAGGTCAACTCACCATTCCCTATCTACACAGTCTTTCCCAACAGCATGATTTCAAGCGATGTTCTTGAAAATCACACCTGTTTACGCTTCCAGTGATTTAAATATTTATGGCAAAATTTCTTTTGACTTACAACTCCTGTAGCTGTATTTGCCATAGATTATTTGTTACCAGCATCAATAGCCACATTTTTAGTTCTCCTGGGCAGTCTTGGAAAGCAGTCTCAGACTTTTATGAAGTAAAGTTTCTGGGAGTACATTAAAAGTTTTTATTTCCCTTGAAAACAATTTTGTTGCTAAAACCAGGCCTGGATGTATTGATGCAATCTAAAAAATCTGTGTGGATCTCCTCAACTTTTCATACATCAGCTAAAGCACTACGAAAGCAAGGACTTACATGATACTTAAAATCACTTTCCAATTATTATTTCGCTATGGTGTGTGGCTTCTACTTAAAAAGTTAATTGCTTACTTAGATCTGTATATTCATTTAATTGTCTCCAAACAGCGGCAGAAGCTTCGAAGAATAAGTGTTTCTTGATATTTCTAAAGAAGGCCCTTGATCTTTATTGCAGTGGTTTCAAAATAGAAGAATTACTAGGAAATGCATTTGCTACACAGGAGGAAAGAGATGTTAAGACTTAAGCTTTGGCAAAGGAATGACTTAGGAAAACTGAGCTGTACATCATAAGACTAGTAGTTAATTAGACAGCTTATTAAAAGCCAAGTTTTCTTGGCATTCATAAGTACATCAAGAGCAGCTGGCTGTTTGCCATGTATACGTGGCATTGTTGTGAATGAAGATAACTGTCGTGGCTCCCTGCTGGAGCAGTTAATTTATTTTACCTGAAATTCTTTGATTTGTGCAGTAGGCTTAAAACCAGGAATAAACTGTTTAGTGAAACCTGATATTAGGCCAGAGCCTGTGGACTGGATCCAAAACAGGACTTAAGCACCAATGGGGACAGTTTGGTGGAACGTAAGGGCAGAAGAACAAAATTGGCTCACATGTCCTCTGGTCTTTGAGTTACCTACCCTTCACAGGACTTGCAGTTTGTGACCTTATCGGCCCCAAAGTGCCATAGTTTTACAGTCCTGAGCAGCTTAGCACTTAGCTTACACTACAGTTTGATCAGGGTTTACATGCTTTATGTTACTCAATCTTTGCACCTAAGCGAACCCAGCC